CTGTCTGTCTGTCTGTCTGTCTGTCTGTCTGTCTGTCTGTCGAGACTGGCTCTTCAGGTAGTTCCGAATTTCCGGACAGACAGACAAACAGACAGACAGACAGACAGACAGACAGACAGACAGACGTCGCCGTTTATATATAGTAGGATAGGATCCTGCTGGCATTCAGTATGCTCCTCAGTGGTTGGCTCACCACACTCGCAGACCTGACTTTGAAGCGGTCGTGGTCGCACAAGTGCAACGTCTCCAAAGTAGGGACAAAAGCTGTGGCGGGTACGCAACCGCGCTGTGCCACGCCGTGTCTGCTTGTCTGCGCCCTCTCACCAAGATAGTGTTCGCATTGGTTTTTATATAGTTCCAGACGTGTATATTGCTGAAAATCGGATGCAAAAAGGTCTTGTGGCTAAGGTTGGCGACAGGAGTTCGGTCATTCTGCACTACCGCTGCGTGTCGAGCTATCAAGTGATTTGTGAAGTCTTGTGAAGACTACACTTGTCAGCACTGGTAGAGAATACTTGTCAACTCTTGAAAGTCGATGCGTTCGGCTATGGCTATGGGAACGAGCGAAAGCGCAAATTGCACCCCCCCCCTCGTCAGCGAACTGCGCCACGTCCTGCATATCTCCATGTCAAGGCTTCGACGCGACTTGGCAATATCAGTGCAAAAAAGCGTGACATAGTCCTGCCGCTGCCTCAACCAACTACTTTTACCCCTTTGAATGCTACTCTTTCCAGCTTACTACTAGTCAAATTATGAACATTGTGATCAAAGAAGTCTTCTTCAGATCGAAGTGGACATGCCGGTCACGTCGATAGCTCCCATACCGGAGTCACATTCGGCCGAAGAGCTTGTTGATAGCTGCTGAAGACGTTTTTGAATAGTTTGGAAACCCCCAACTTCCCCTATTTCTGAAGCCATAGGCTCTAAAAATGTTAAGTAAAAAACTTTCATTGGAAGATTATAGCATGACTATTTCGCCCTTGTACAGTGGCATACTACTTCGGGTGCCCGTCTCTCAGAACTCATTATGAGGACGAGTTCTGGCTCAAAAAGTGTGGACTAATCATGATTTGAGGTATACGGTGCTTGAGGCTTCTGTGAACTCTCTATAGTACCTGTTGTTGTAGTTGGAAATGTAAAAATTGTGTTGAGTGGACAGATCGAAATTTGGAATAATTGAAACCATTACTTTCTGGGTACCCACCCTTGTATTCAGGTTAAATGTTTTTATGGTCACTTAATGGTGGGGGCGGGTAGAGTCGGACAAAACCCGACCTAGGCTTCTAAAATTGCTGCCCTCATGGACGCTTGCGTTGCGCTTGTATGCACGGTATGAGCGCTCGGGAATCCTCTCCACCCCCCCTCCCTGCGTCTGTTAGAATGCAACTCTTATTTGATATACAGCTCTCAGTCTC